TCATTAAACTATATAAAAGACGTTACACCAACTTAGGTTAGTAACGACTCTTATGTGCGAGGTAGGGGCATATAAGGTTGATCATAATTATTGAACTCCACTTTCCAAATCACTAACATCACATCTCTGGTGAGAAGCCTAAAGAAAGTATATGAATTACTTGTAACACTTGGTGGTAACTTACAAATTAGCAAATAGTCCATAACATTTGGTGGTGACTGACAATTCTGCCTGTAACACTACGTAGCTAAAAATAATTTCAGAAGCTGAAATTATTTTCAGTATTTAGGCATTTGAAGCAGTATGCCTAAAATATAAAAATATAGGCATACCGTAATGCCATAAATCACCTCTAATTTAGGCACACATATATAGGGTGAGGCATGAGATTTTATCTAGGCATTAGTATATGCAAAATTTTACAATGAATTTTTTTGTTAGAGCCTACTAATACTATTAATTTTAGTCACACGAATATTATTATAGTCTATCAGGTAACTTTAACCTAGGTGAAAATATAATTTTAATATATATCATAGATCTTTAATAATATTTTGTATGTATTGGCTAATGCACTAAATAATTATATGCATATTTAATATTGAAATACGAATCTTTTATGCGAAAAACAAATATATCAATGGCTTTTTGATATTGAATAGTAAGTTAAATGATTTACTTTATATACTTTAAACTTTCCTTTGTTCAATTAGTTAATTTTTGTCTCTCAACTTCTTAACTAAAAAATGTTTTCAAAGAAGACTTTAACACTGGTCTTTCTTTTGATATGTTCAATATTATTATTACTTCTGAATGAGTTCCTATCATCTATAGTTTTGAACATCTCCTGAAAAACTAATATTTTCCCATTTGCTACCTCACAAAAAAATTACAATAATGAAAAAGTTTTTAATCTTACAATCTCTAAAGGAATTTATGCTCTGGACGATTTTAAGAGACAAATAATTCTCATAAATGGCAGTTTTCCTGGTCCTCTGATTGAGGCTACTATAGATGACACTTTAGTCATTAATGTTGAAATAAATTAGATGATAATACTACATCAATTCATTATCATAGAATCTTTTAACGTGGGATTCTTGGTACGATAGCATTTCTGGGCAATCTCAATGTAGCATTCCATCACATAAAACTTTCATATAAATTTAAAGTAGAACATACTGGTAATAAGGCCGTTCGAAGTAGATTCTTTGGTTAATGTTACCCTCCTCAGCTGAAGGCTGTCCTGAGAAATGAACAACCAATCAAAACACTGGATAACTCTCACCAATCTCTTAATTTACATTGACCAATCAAATTGTCTCATATCTGTTCATTCTATATGTTCATTCTATATGTTCATTTAATTTTATCCCCCCTCCAAGAGTTCTAAAAGTGACGTTAACTAAAAATTCAATTGCAAGTGGCCTAAGTAATCTTTTTTTAAAATTGACACGTGATCTACAAAATATATATAAGAAACTTTTAAAGACATAAATTCGAAAAAATAGTCATTCACATTCAAAAGCTCAATATGTTAATGGAGTTCTTGGATTCCTTATAATTCACGATCCGAAAGACCTTTATATTAAAGATTATGATGAAGAAATTATAGTGATACTACAGAATTTTTATCATACTGATTCTAAAATCTTGTTAGCTAAATTCTTGACTCCTGAAAGTCAAGGAAATGAACCAATACCTGATAATAGTTTGATTAATAGGATGAACTCCTATAATTGTTTGTGGGCCCAAAAGGTAGTGATTATGTTAATAATGCTCCATTAGCACAATTCAAGTTTGTTCAAGGAAAGAAATACATAATTAGAATTATTAATACTAGGTAATTTCTAAATTTTTGTTTATACATCACATAAATTTATTTATTTATTTAATTATACATTGTCAATAGTGCATTTTCCAAATTTATTTTCTCGATTGATGATCATCCTATGGAAGTAATTGAAGTTGAAGGGATGATAACTAAGAAATATACAGTTCATCACCTTCCTATTAATATAGCCCAACGTTATTCAGTTATTGTAACAGCTGATAAACCAATAAAAAATTATTGGATGTATTCATAAATAGAAACTGCTTGTTTTGCCATCCCACCAGATAAACTTAATCCTCTCATAAAAGCTATTGTTTCATATGATGGTTCTAATAATGAAGATCCAACATCAACTGCTTGGACAGATAACACTGAAAATTGTGTAGATTTGAATACATCAGATCTAAAACCTTACAAACTGCAAAAGATTCCAGATGCTGACTGTAAATTTAATATAATTGTAGATTTTCATCCAGATGAAAAAAATATTACCTTAGCATTTATAAATAATTCAACATATGTTATAGATGAAAAATATCCAACACTTTACAAAATGTACGATGGTGTTACGAAATTTGCTACTAATCAAAATATTTTCTTAGTTGATCATAATAAAGTTGTTGATATCATTTTGATAAGTAAGAATAATTAATTTTTATTTATTAAAAATGATTTTCTCTAATTTATTTTTAATTGAATTAAATATTATTATTTTTAATTAATTAGATTTAGATGGTGGTGAACATCCATTCCATTTGGTATGCATTCCTGAA